TTTCTTGTTATGCCCAGCAAATTGTGGAATTTCCAGATGTGTGGTTTTCATGTCTTAGTTTACCCCTGTAGCCTCAGACAGGAGAAAATGAGGGGTGGATTACAGAAAGGTTTTAAATGAAGGAGTAATTTCTCACTGCAAGAAAAGTGATGCCAACAAAAACAAAAGGACTTACTATAACCCATTAGTTCCCCTCCAGGTGCTTCTGCCACAATGAAGTACTCAGGCCAGTGAGCCAGATACTGAAGGTAAAATGGGATCCCATACTGTTTCACATGTTAAAAAACAGAACATCGGACACATGTACTGACACAAATACTGACACCAGGATCTGGGTTTAAAAGCCTTAACATACACTTCAGGATAATTGTTTATAAAGCCTAGTAAAAAATCAATATATTTGGCATACATCAAAATGAAGATGAAAGATTAGTGAAACAGGTTTTTGTAAGAGTACTGAGAAGGACTTCATCCACCATTACATTAAGAAATTGTGCTTACCCTATACAGGGTTTAAGTTTAGTAAAAATAAAAGGTACTGGTCCTTACCCAGTTTAATTTAAAAAAAACAACTGTTGCTTGGTTTACTTATGGTATCTCAACTTCTGTTAATTTGTTGTAAAAAACACTATACAACCTTTTTTTAACCAAAGACGCGACTCTTGAACCTGAAGCACATAGTTTTTAGTGTAGTGCACGAAATATGATTTCAATATAAGAGTTTCAATATTCACCAATGTCGAATAACGAATGCGAAATCTTTCTATGGTTTGATAATTGTTTCATTCGAAAAGGATACGGTTTCTGTGAGTGGATCCAGATTACTGCAAGAAAGAGAGAAAGAAAGTTGAGAGTAGAAAAACACATTAAACAACAAACGTTTTAATTTGTAACTTTCTTAACATTTTGTAATGTGATTTTAAAAAATCTACTGCAGTCACCTTTTAATTTAAAAACCTACGTGTCAAATGGTGTGCTATCCTTACGTCTAACGTTTACCTAAATCACGTAGTATTTCTATTTTCATCATAGAGTGAAACTTCTCCGAAAATGTCTTTCTTGTAATGCGCTGATGGGTTCATTTTTAAAAGACGTATCAAGCGTCAGACACCTTAGCTTTTCCCGTTATAATATAAAGAAAGTTGGACAAGCCATAAATAACTGATATTTAGCACGAATAAATTAAGTTACTAGTGGCGCGATGGCTTCATAATCTACGAAAACAAAACAATATGACTTTATTATTAAAGTGTTATTAAAAATGGTATCTGACGGCGTATTTTCTTAATCGTGTCAACTACAACAAAGGGAAACAAGAAACACGTTTTAAATCGAAATTCTGTGCGTGTATTTGTTTTTAAGTAACGACTTGCTGAAAATCATGACGATTTGAATGAACATAGAAACGGCTAAAAATTGAAGTATCATGATAAATAACACAATCTTATTTAAAAGATAATTAAATACCTCTTTAGACTCACATGTTATTGAATTTAAACAGATCATCGCAATTAAACGCTCTCAACGTTGTCATGTTCTCTGAGAGTGAGAGCCGAGAGTAAAAAGGAAATACAATGTATGACCTTTCAACTTTAACCTCAGCAAAGTGAATTGATTCCGCTGGCAGTTTTGTTTGGGTTTATTTTCGTTGTTTGACTCATTAAACTGAATGAAATATTTGGTGTTTTAAATGATAATGCTGCTGTTTTATATTTTACGTAGGTGCTGAACACGATTAATCAATCCGTATACATACAATTTAGTTTTGCATGTTGGCGGTAAATCGATATTTCGGCAGTTCTTCGACAGAGTATCAAGGAAGGAGTAAGGAATAATGCGGTTTGAGTTACCCCCAACCTTATTTTAAAACATTGGAGGCAGCAAGTTTTCTATGCACGAATACTTACAAGGTTTAAAGCCATGAGAGCTTGCAGATCCAGTTACAATACAGAGCTACAATTGAGCGGAAACAACGCACCTAGAAAAGCGCTTTAAAAAACTACCTGCATTGTCTGCTACTGATCTCTGTACACAGACTCTGTACACTAAGCTTTGCGGAAGGGATGAAGTCAAATAATTTATAAAAGAAATCAACGCAGATAAATGGAGCACTGAATTTCCAGTATGAATAAGTACCTAAGTTGAAGGAAGAGTTTGCAAATTATCTCTCACTGTGGATATGGGGTCTAGCATCACATATGAGAAGAATATTTCACATACATATTCACCATTTGACCATTAACGTTAATAATTTTCAGTTTTCATATCGTAAACAGTGTTTTAAAATCTTTGTAGTCAATAATAAACGGATATAAATTTTATTCTTGGATAAATACGGGAACATTAAACAATAAAAATAACGCTGCAATATAAGAGGTTATTTTATTGAAGGTCTTAATTTTGCCTAAACTTTTAAATGAGTATTTTCAGAAGTGTCCATGCAAAACAGCATATGATACAAATAAACCATATTTACTGTAAGTTGAATGTTTTTTACTATTTACATCCTGTTCTTCATAGTGGTTTTGTGCATCTTTAATATTCTTTTTTTAAAATAAAAAAGGTATTTAAATATGATAGAAACATTTACCTTTATGACTAAGACTTGTTAGTGAATTTTATCCATCCATCCATTTTCTGTCAGCTTCTTCACATTCAGGATTGTTGGGAAGCCAGAGCCTGTCCTGGCAAGCAACAGGTACAAGACAGGATACATCCTGGACAGGAAGCCAGTCCATTGCAAAGTGGACACATAGATATCCACGCTCTCAGCTAGGGCTGTTTTTCCTAGAAGTCAGTTAACTGTATGCCTTTGGACTGTGAGAGGGAACCAGAGTACCCAGAGAAAACCCAAACAAGTGTGGTGGGAAGATACAAACTCCGCACAGCACCCCTGGTCCAGAATTGAACTCAAGGCCCCACAACTGTGAGGCAGCAATACGAACCACTGTGCCAGCCCCAAGTGAATTTTATTCTTTGTGTTAGTTATTGTGATATTGGTATTTCGTGCTATTTCTGCTTTATTCATCAGCATTTGTGAGTTATTCAACATTTTTTACATCATAAACATGGTATACAGAAAAACTCACTGTGTTTTGCTCTGGAAACCTGTGGTCTGCTGCTGTTCATGTCCAACATGGCAATAATTTTCAAAACTTCCTTTATTTTTGGATCTTTCTTTTTCAAATTTGTAGACTTTCAGTCAGACCTGCTGAATGGGAAACACATATACTCTAAGTACTGTTCTCCCTTTGACCAGGTAATTCTCGCTGGGATTAATCTGCTTTGCAAGCTGAAGTATATTCCTGACAAGTACAGGCCTTTAAGGCCTTCAATGTCTGTTCTCATATTTTCTCTTTGTTCTTCTAGAACAATGGTTCTCAAACTTTTTGGACCAAGTACCACCCCTAATCCAACCAAAGCATCAAAGTACCACCTACAAGTCATAATCTCATAGGAACCCCAGAAATTCTCAATGACCAACATGAGCGTGCACACACACTCACACATACATACTGTATAATAAATATTATAATAATAAACTTTATTTGATATAGCGCATTTAAAGGTGGCTTCTCAAAGTGTTTTACAGAAAAAAAAACATTAACAACAACTAATAAAAAAGCACCATTTCAGTGAGAGGGGTGAGCCTGTTAAGGTGAGCAAAGCAGATGTGAATTAATTTTTCGAGCCTTGATACAATTCACAACAGAGTCTAACAGATATTAAATCGTCAGGTATTTTTTTGACGGCAAAGGTCTCGCGGTGGATGTTGTAATGCGTACATTAATTTCTGGAGCAACCTCTCCAATTCGTGCAACTACACCGTTATGTCGGCTCTACCACCGTCTGTACAAACTCAGACGCATTTTATCCAGTCGAGGCCATTCTCTTCGATAAATTCATTCGGAAGCTGAAATACGTGCTCTCCTGTAGTTCGTGTTGGTAGCGGTTTACAGAACAGAAAGTCTTCATGGGACATGCCCTCAAACTCGTATCTAACGTAAACGA